ATCCATCCAGTCCAAAGTTTCAGGGTTAGCCTCACTGTGCAGCAGTTAGCTCGTGTGCAGGGGAAAGCTGGGTCCCATGTGGCTAACTGGGGTTCAAATACCAGTCCCATCAGTTTCATGCCACACATATATGCCTAGGATTTTTTTTTTTTTTTTTGGAGAGGTTTTCGCTATAGGGCGCGTGTGCTCGCCAGACAGACAGAGAGAGACATAGAGACAGAAAGTGAGAAATCACTCCCCAGAGGGGATGGTCACGCCGCAATCTCTTCTCCATTCTCCTCTCGGGATCTTGGGCATGCATGCACACGCGCCCGGTGTGAGTTTTAAGCCACTGGGTCCGGGACGCGAACCGCAGTCGACTACATGGGAGTCCAGCGACATAGCCATTACGCTAACTGCTGGTTCCCTATGCCCAGGATCTTGATGGGATGGTGAAATGGAGGAAAAAGGACTGCAGCATGACCAGGCCTTGCCAGTGGGTGCATGGACTTACTCGTGTTCTCTCTCTCCATCTCATGTACATGTACTTCTGTCATAAAACCAAAAAAGTTTCAATCAATTGGAATTGCCTCAAAAACAAAACAAAACAAAAAAGAATGATAGATTGAGCATACAAAAGCATTAAAAAGTTATTATAGCTATATTCCATACTTTGAAGAAGCCATAGAAAAGATGAAAGATGTAGAGACAAGGAAAATACAAATAATTCACAAATTAAATTTCTAAAGATGAAAACTACAATGTCTGTGATGAGAAATATATCAAGTGTATTAACACCAAGTTAATCTGAAATTAACAACAAATTAGCCACCGTAGAAGAAAAAATATCAGTGAATTTGAAGACAGAGCAACATACTAGAAAAAAATGAAAAAAACTTTGAGACAGATAAAAATGAACAGAACATCAGTGGGAGGTGGCATAACTTCAAAGGGCCTAACACTGCGTATGTGTCACTTGGGACTTCTGATAGAGAGCATAGCCACTGCCTACTGGTTAAGGGAACTGGGACACGAATGACTGACCATGACTCAATTTTGACCTGGTAGCTTGAAAACCAGTGGATGGAGAAATGGTGGAGAAGAGATGGCAAAGGGACCATGCCTCTCTTTCTCCTTCTGTCTCTCACACAGCAATGCAACCAGGCAATTTAAAAAGAAAGGAAAGGAAGAAGGAAGAAAGAAAGAGTAACAGGAATACAAAGTTGTTTTTTTTTTTTTTTAAGAAAATAATGATCAAAAATTTCCAAATCTGATGCAACTATAAACTTAAAAGATCCAAGAAGCTGAAGAAATTCTGAACACAGAGACATGGCAACAAAGCTGCTGAAAAGTAGTGATAAAAAAACAGTATCAAATGCAGCCAGAGGGGAAAAGGATACTTGTTAAGGAACAAAAGGTAAGAATGAAAGCAGATTTGTCACTGGAAATAATTTTAGATAACAGGAAGGGCAGAAATATTTAAAATGTACTAAAAAGAAAAAAAAAAACCTTATCAATTTTCTACCCAGGGAAATTCTTACCATATTTTGTTGAGAAAAATATCATTCAAAAGTGAAGAAAACAGCATGACTATGTCCCAAGTAGGGCTGTGTGTGCATGTGTGTGCTCTTTCTCTCTCTCCCTGGCAAGCATATGCATCTTCCAGTAATAGTTCAAACAAAACAAAACAAAACAAAACACAACTGAAACTGATTGACTAAAAGATATACAAACACAAGAGATGGGTGTGAATGCCAGATGATGTGTGTGGAGGAGTGGGGCCTAGGGAAGGACATTTGGAGGAGGGGTACAGAGGCAGAGCATTGATGAGATGGGGAGGTGTGGTGTTATCTGTTGAAGATATTTTGATCAATTGGACTGGGGAGAAATGTTCACATGTTGAAATGTTCACTTTGTAAGCTAAACAATGTGATTGAATGTACATAAAAAATTAATTAAAAAAAAAAAAGAACTGACAACAACAACAACAAAAAAGGGACCCAGAGGCCTAAACTCACGCAAGGGGCTTGTGTGTGCATGCATGCCCCAAATCCCCAGAGGAGAATAGAGGAGAGGGACTGTGGCATGGCCATTCCCCCCATGACGGGTGATTTCTGACTTTCTGCCTCTCTTTCTGTCTCTTCAGTGAGCGCATGTGCAAAAATCTCCCTCAAAGGAAAAAATAAGAAAAATCATAAAATTATAAAACCTTTAGAAGAAGAAAGAAAAATCTTTGTTACCTTTGGTTAAGCAACGACTTCTTAGAATACAAAAGCACAACTCATCAAGAAAAAAAAAATGATAAACTGGACTTCATCCCAATTCATCTACCTTTGAAAGATGCTATTAAGAGTGAAACACCATTCCCTATGGGATGATTTCTCACTTTCTGTCTCTCTGTCTTTCTCTGTCTCCCTGGTGAGCACACACACCTTATAGCAAAAATCTCTCCTTAAAGAAAAAAGTTAGTACCAGCAGATGGCATAATGGTTACATTGCTGGATTCCCACATAATTGATCATGGTTTGAGTCCTGGACCCTGCAACTTAAAACTTATACAAGATGCATGTGCATGCATGCCCAAAATCCCAGGAGGAGAATGGAGGAGAAGGGATTACAGCATAGCCATCCTCCCTGGTGTGTGACTTCTCACTTTCTGTCTGTCTCTGGCGAGCGCATGTGCCCTATAGCAAAAACCTCTCCAAAAAAAATAAATAAATAAAAAAGAGTGAAATGTCAAACTATGGACCAAGTGAAAATATTTTTAAATCACATCTCTAACAATAAACCTGTATTTATAATGTATTTTTTTAGAACTCTCAAAATTCAATAAGAAATAATTTCATTTCAAAACAAGCAAAAGATTAAGACACTTGACTAAAGATGTAAATATATGGATAACAAGTAAAATATGAAAAGATACTCAAGTGTCAGACATCATATAAATAGAAAATAAAACCACAGTGAGATACTGCTACACACCTATTACAATCTCTAAAATCTAAAAATGTCCATAACAAGTGTTGACAGGATATGGAAAACCTGGAGCTCTTATATACTACTGGTAGAAATGTAAATGGTACTGACCACTTTGAAAAAAATATTTGGAAGTTCCTTAAAAGTTAATAATGGGGCCAGCAGGCAGTGTGGTGGTTAAGGGCACTGGATTCCCATATGGTCGACCATGGTTCAAGTCCCGGACCTGTCAGCTTGCTTTTTCACTTTCCCTCCCTCTCTCTATCTTACTCTGTCCCTCTCTGGTAAAATTAAAATAAATAAAGTCAAATAAAATAATTATTTGGAAAAAAGAAAAAGTTAATACTACCGGAGCCACCAGGTGGCGTGGTGGTGAAGGCACTGGGCTCCCACATGGCCAACTGTGGCTTAAGTCCCAGACCCAGTAGCTCAAAAATCATGCTGGCTGTATGTGCATGTATGCCCAAAATCTCAGAAGGAGAATGGAGGAGAAGGGACTGTGGTGTGGCCATCTCCCCAAGGATGATTTCTCACTTTCTCTCTCACTGTCTCTGTCTTTTTCCAGTGAGCACACGTATCCTGTGGCAAAAATCTTAACAACAACAAAAAAGTTAAATGCTACCATATGACCCAGCCACACCATTACTATAATATTTACCCAGGAGAAATGGAAGTATAAGTCTATATAGAGACTTGTAAACTAATGTTCACAGAAGCGTTATCTGGAATAGCCTAGAACTATAAACAACTCAAATGTCCATTATCACATGAATGGATAAGCAAATTATGGTATATCCATACAAGGCAATACTACTCAGCGGTAAAATGAATGAGCTATTTGTGCACACTGCAACACAGATCACAAAATAACTATGCTGAGGGACAAATTTGGTTCATAAGCTATGATTTCATTTATAGTGATGGAACAGGGAACAGTGGTTATCTGGTGATGACTGGTTTTGGTTAAGCGGGTAAGGAGTGAGGCTGGATTACAAAAGGGTATGTTAGATATCAAAATAGATACCTTTTAAGCGATAAACCAACTAATGGGGAAGTCATATAGTCCCTTCTGGAGAAATGAAGATTTTCCAGTTCTCAAAAATATGTACAATGGAACCAGCAGTTAGCGTTAACGGCTATGTCGCTGAACTCCCACGTAGTCGACTGCGGTTCACGTCCCGGACCCGGTGGCTTAAAACTCACGCTGGGCGCGTGTGCGTGCGTGCCCAAGATCCCGAGAGGAGAATGGAGAAGGGATTGCAGTGTGACCATCCGCCCTGGGGGGTGATTTCTCGCTTTCTGTCTCTATGTCTCTGTCTGTCTGGCGAGTGCACGTGCCCTATAGTGAAAAACCTCTCCAAAAAAACCCCCAAAAAACAAAAAAAAAACAAAACGTACAAGAGTGAAATAAATATAGAAAAAAAAAAAAGAGCAAAGGGAAAAAATTAATGATCTGTCTCTCTCTCTCTCTCTCTCTCTCTCTTTTTGCTGCAGGGGACATGCACTTTTCAGAGAGAGAGAAAGTGAGAAATCACCCACCAGGGGAGATGGCCATACCACAGTCCTTTCTCCTCCAGTCTCTTCTCAGGATTTTGGACATACATGCACGCGCACCTGGCATGACTTTCAAGCCACCAGGTCTGGGACTCAAACTGTAGAGTCAGCCATGTGGGATCCAGCATCTTAACCTCCACACCACCTGCTGGCCCACATCTCTTCTCTTTTAATCACACACTTCTTTCATTATTTGTAAAGCTGTACTTGAAAATATCATAGTGCCAGGATGTTAACAGAAAACTTGTTTATACCATATTACATGCGTTGTTTTAAAATGATGAAGCCTAGTTGACTTACAGAGTAAACACATACATAACCCAAAATGTAAAGCTAATAGCATTTGTAGTTAGGCTTAAAAAGTGTCAGGTTCCAAACTGAATATAAATCTCTAGCCAAAATTTTCAGGTATTAAAGTTTATTCAGTATCTTCAAGATGAACAAAACTACTGATTTATCTAGGTAAAGTATAAAAGGAAAAGTAACAAGTGTAAGAAAAAATAACACAGGATTTTTTAATGAAAAAATTACATTATAACAAGGACAATATACATTAAGTTACTATATATATATACATATATACACATATATACACACTTTGTTTAAACTCTTTTCAAATGTGGTACAAATTAAACAACATCATTCTCATATTCACATGATTAGGTATATATTTTGGTAAGATATAAAAAAAGACAAAACACAAGCTGGTAGACCTCAAAATTGGAAATGCTAATGTAGAACCAGATCCCCCAAATCTATGTTTTCTACCACTTTAGTGTCTCTTAGGAAACATTTACCTTGAATAATATATAAAAGCTTTTTCTTTTAAGTATACTAAGTGCTTACACAGAAAACCGTTATTGAGAGAAAGGCCCATCATGGCCTTTTCATCTGTAATTCACGGTACTATGTAAAGGACCACCTGGAGGTTTGGAACATGAGAACTACAATGAAGAAATGAGCTAAGCTGTAATTGTGAATTTCTAACTGCTAATTTTGAATGTCCAACTCACTACTACTGATATTATACCTTGTAATATGTGACACAAAAGAACATTTGTCAAACTTTGCTGTAGAGCTGTTAGGAGAATGCCAAATATAGATGTTGAAAAATTTAAGCACTTGTATTTAATACCCTACATATCTAAAAAAATAACTAAACTTTTTAAATATGTAAACATAGTTGTCAAAAAGTGATGCTAAGCACCTTTAAATACAATACTGATATATTGTGACTAAACATGCATATAAAGGACAAATAAAATTTTAAAAACTCATTTAGAAACCATTTTTAAGGAGCCGTTAATTGAAATACTTACATGAAAATATTGATAGTTCCAGTTTCTACCTAAAAACCAAGAGAGTATACAATTAGGGATTTAAACCTTCCTTCATACTCTAGATTTCTGTGGGGTTTTGTTTCTGGAGAAGATGCACTGCAACTCTCTGTCCTCAAGATAAAAAACAGTATCAGAAAAGACATTTATACAGAATTAAATGAGGGAAATATTTTTTGTTTTGTTCTTAATCAACTACCAAGTTTGAATACTCTGACATCCCTCATCCTCACAGGTAACTGAATAGAGTTAATATCCTAAACAAGCATTTCTCCTTAGCAACCCAACATCAAAAAAAGAAAGAAATGTTAGTAAAAATATAGTCAAGTTGGTAAAATATTTAATAATAAATCATTAACTATTACTGAAAAGTGAATATTTAAAATCTTTCAAAAGTTTCCAGGGACCAGTGGTTGGCATGGTGGCTGAGTTGCTGGACTCCCACATGGCAGATCATGATTCAAGTCCTGGAGCTGGCGGCTTGAAAATCATACTGAGCACATATGCATGTGTGACCAAAATCCTGGGAGGAGAATGGAGAAGGGGATTACGGTGTGGCCATCCCCCTAGAGGGTGATTTCTCACTTTCTCTCTGTCTATCTCTCTCTCATGAACACATGCATCCCTTGGCAAAAACCTAAAAAGGTTTCCATAAAAACTAAGAGTAACAAATGAAAAGGATACTAACTATGATACAATACCAAACTATGAATTAATTTGCATTTATTCTTTTTAAGTACACACAGACTAAGAAAAATCTGGGTTTTAGGTAGTTGACAGTTGTGTTTAACTTAGCATAACATCATCAAATTTGGCAGCCTGCCTCTACAAATGCCAACAGCAAAATTTTTCAATTCTTAGGAAAGAAGACAAATCTATTAGAAAATCATACATATGGCTAAATATTAATCTTGCATTAAATAGGATATAAATAATGGACTTTACATTAAATAGGATAGAAATAAAAAAAAGCAAAGAATTTCAGAATTCTAACATCTAATGAAACAGTGCTTTATATTTAAAGCTCTAAATATGTACCTGAAACAAAGTAAATTAAGAATTGGAGTCTGGACTTAGAAAAGCCAAAAGTGACTCATATTCATGTCAAGTATTACGGTTAAATTTCACATTATATTGTGCGTGCTTTCATATTAAACATTAATAGCCATTTGAAATTTATTTATTTTTTTAATTGCTATAGGGTATATGTGCTCACCAACGAGAGACAGAGAGTGGGAGAAAGCACTCTCCAGTGGGTTGTGGTCATGCCACAATCCCTTCTCCTTCCTTTCTCTATCTTGTCTGGCTTTTGGATGGGCACACAGTCACACATGCTCAGCATGTTTTTCAAGTACACAGGGGCCAGGATTCAAACTGCAGACAGCCATGTGGGACCTAGCTCCCTTAATTACTAGGCTATGGGGCTGGTTCAAAATTCTTTTTTTCTTAAAATAAATATTAAAATATATCCACAAAAGGTCTCTGGAAAAACAAAGCCTTTAGGTTAATTTCTTTCCTTTTTTTTTTTTTTTTTTAATTTGCTAGAGGGTGCATGCCCTTGCATGTGAGAGAGACACAGTACCCCCAATGAGGCATGTTCCCAATCCCTTCTCCATTTTTCTATCATCAGGACTTTAAGGCTGCCACAGACATGTGCATGTTACTCAAGCCCCTGGGGCCAGGATTTGAACAGGGCAATTGGCCATGTTGTATCTGGCTCCCCCAAACACTAGGCTAAGGGGCCAGTCCCAGGTTGATGTTTGGTGGTTACAGTTGGCATTTCTTGTTTTCCAGTCTTCCAGAAAATAGCAGCTTATAGTGAATACACTGATTTGTACTTATTTGGTATTTGAAGTAAATATACTTACTTAATAAGCAAATGTACTATTATAAATCAGATGTTGTGCGGTCTTTACTATGACCTACATTTTAAACTATAAATACGTAACCTGCAATATTATAAATTCTGATAATGACAATTCAGTAAGAACGCTGGCATAGAAAAATGTAAATATAACTCTAATTCTTTTCTAACCAGAGATGAATCTTCAATACATAACAGAGGAAAAAGTCTTCTACTGTCATGAAACATTCCCCAAATTATCTGTAAACACTAGGAAATTCTATTATTCTTTCTGAGTTCTCTCAACTTCTTCATCTTTCTACCTACAATATTTTACTTCCATTACAGTATAAATCCATGCTACAGGGACCAGCAGTTAGTGAATGGCTATGTCGCTGGACTCCCATATAGCTGACCACGGTTCGAGTCCTGGACCCAGTGGCTTAAACTCACGCCGGGCGCATGTGGGTGCGTGCCCAAGATCCCGAGAGGAGAATGGAGGAGAAGGGATTGTGGTGTGGCCATTCCCCCTGGGGGGTGATTTCTCGCTTTCTGTCACTCTGTCTCTGTCTGTCTGGCGAGCACATGTGCCCTATAGCAAAAACCTCTCCCCCCGAAAAAATCCATGCTACATATATCAATTTCTGTTGCTTAGCTGATTAACTTATGCTAAAATTCTCAGTCATTACCTAAACACTTCCAATTTCTATTAGCTGTCCGTTATAATGCTATTGATTTATAGTTAATGTACAGAAATTAAAAGGGAAGCGGTTAAAATACAACTGCATGGTTTCCACAGACATGACTACTGGGATCTGTGTTACAATGTAAAATCTACTGCTTTGTCTTCCCAAATGAGATAGACTATAAACATTTTCTCACCTGTCTGCCAATTAAAATCATCTTCACAATTTTAAAGAGAAAAAAATAAGTTATTTCAGAGCATAAAAATAATTTATGACATACATACACACCCACAAATACACACTCGCACAGCTTTCATTGTTCTTTTTTGTCTTTTAAGAATCAAAACTGGTTATTTCCAAAATTGAGTTAGATAATTATATGTGTTCAGACTATATTATTGTGGAGAAATTCAGATAAATTTTTGAAATACTGGCCTTATTAGATAATCAAAAAACACAAGAAGTATACAAAATAAGAGGAGTAAAATATCTCTTAAGAAAGGTAAAAATATGGAATTGGCAATAACATATCAGTTTTACACCAAAGCTGCTCATCAAACCAGCCTGTGGTCCAGTTATCACAATGCTGTGCTTTGACATATTCACCTTCTTTTATAAAATGCCAGGAGTCGCCAGAGCTGTAAATTCTGAAAAGCTTCAATAATTTAAGTAGCAGATAATTTCTTATAGTCCAACAAATTTTTTGCTTCCATAGACAATGCTGGTTCTTTGGGTTCTTGCTTAACTTGGCTCACAGAAATGGTACCTTCTGGATTTTCTTCAACTTTAAAACCAAACATAAAAGAAAAATCCTAAAGGTTAATACACTTTATGACACTGGGATCTTTAGAATTATATGAATTTAGAAGCAAAGCAAAAAAACACAGCAGTTTGGGGAAAAGAATCAAGTAATTGAGAAAAGCAGTTGGTGTATTTGAAAACTCTGTTTCTGATGTCTTATCAATCATTCATCATTAAATTCCTTTAGTAAGTTTGTAGTGATGAAAAAAGAAGAAACCTATAGTGATTCCCTTCTATAGCTAACCTGATAACAAAGTCATCCATAATTTGATAAAATTATGAGGAACAGATCATATTTAAATTTAACCATTTTTAAAATAATTATTTTTATTTAACTTTATTTATTTACACATCATCTTTTTTGTTTTGTTTTGTTTTTTATTTGAGCAGAGAAAGACAGAGAGAAAGAGAGAGAGGGGAAGTGAGAAAGCAAGCCGCCAAGTCGGTGACTCGAACTGCGGTTGGCCATATGGGAGTCCAGCATCCTTAACCACCATGCCACTTGCTGGCCCCTAAACTTAACCTTTTTTTTTTTTTTTAAATACGGGGAAATAAAAGTCAGGAAGCTTCTTATCATTTTTTTGAAAGAATTATTTTATTTAACATTATTTATTATTATTATTATTTTAAATTTGACCAGAGAGAGAGAGAAAGTGAGAAAGCAATCCACCAAGTCCAGGACTAGAACCACAGTTAGCCCTGTGGGAGTCCAGCACCCTTACCCACTTTGCCACCTGCTGACCCTGCCTCCCATTTTTTGAAAATTATTTGTTTGGCAAACAGAAGGCACATATACTACAAATTAATGCAGATGTTATTCCAATGCAGTTTCCATATGTGATCAAATATCAAAGAAAATGTTCCCTTCCTGAAGGACCTTAACTACACTAGAAAAAAAAAAAAAAGCCAGATCTTAACTAATAGCTCTAACTTAGCTGTGTGAGCTATGTGTTTGCTTATCTGAAACATTTCAGAATGCACTTACCATTCTGATGTCAAAGTACTTATGATCAAATTAGTCTAAACAAAGCATACTAGCACCATTATTGTGCACTGGCAAATGAGATGCCTCAGATCAAATTTTCATTTCTCCTTCTCAGGAATATCAGTTTTCAGTTGCTACAGGAAAAACAGGTTAAGGGACTGTATTTGCTCAGAGAAGCATGTTGAACACAGCTAATACTTGTTACATGTGGGTGTGTAAGAATTTAGCTTGAGACATGGAGAACCAGTAAAGGATGAATTTGAGTGACCTTAAGAAATCAGATTCAGGTGAAATAGGCCCTTGCATTATGATCTTACTTGATAACTCATGCAAATTTGGATCCGAAGCAGGTATCCTTTAAAGTAATTTATATTACAGCTCCCAGCACAGCAGTATGTTAGAATGGGGAAAAACCAACTTCAGAAATAGACAAACTAGGTTTAAATCCTTCATCTCTCACTAGATGTAACCTTCCTGAGCCATGTTCTCCCCATCTGCAGAAGGGAGACACCATAAATTATTTCGTGGAGTTGTGAGGATTAATTTAAGTACATTCCATTTTTCTTTCATGGATTCTCAGTTGTTACAGCTGCCATAACTCTCTGGATAAATTTTTTTAAAAGTAATGCTTCCAGGGATCAGCAGACGAAATGATGGTTATGTCACTAGATTCCCACGTAGTTGATCAAAGGTAGAGTCCTGGACCCAGTGGCTTAAAATTCATGCAGGGCATGTGTGCGTGTGTACCCAAAATTCCGAGAGAAGGGACTGCAGCATGACCAACGCTCCCAGGGGAAAGGAATTTCTCACTTTCTGTCTCTCGGTCTCTCCTGTGAGTACACACACCCTATAACAAAAATCTCTCTCTCTCTCTCAAAAAAAAAAAAAAAAAAAAAAGTAATGCTTTCAGGACAAGCCAGGTGGTGTGGTGGAATCCTTACAATTACATGAATTTACATCCCGTGTGGCTAGCTGCACAGTTCGAGTCCCAGATCCAGCAGCTTGAATAACGTGCTGGGCATGTGTGCATATATACCCCAAATCCCGAGTGTAGAAAGGATTGCAGTGTGGTCAGCCCTCCTAGGGGCTTTTTAACTTTCTCTCTCTCCTTCTCTGTCTCTCTCCAGCAAATGCTCATGCCCTTAGCAAAAACAAAAAGCAGTATTTCCAGTAAATAAAAAGACAACGATTCTTTTCTGGAAAGAGCTCAGAGTCTTCCTTATCAAGAAGAATCACGACCCAGATGGAGGGGAAATTTTCTATTCTAAGAATGATCTCTGTGTAGATTTCTGTTCTTCAAAATGGTAAAGCTTTTCTCTTGAAAGTACCCAATCAAGGACAATTTGTGTGGGGGGGACAATGACAGCTCAGAAAGGAGATAACAGAGTTTACTACAGTTGGTAATAAGGTGAGGGTAACAGTATTGGACTAAGTGTCTAAGTCTTACTCCCTTTCAACTTCCACTGACTTCAACCTTAGGTCTATAACTTAATAACTTTGTTTCAATTTTTATATCTGCCTATTTCATTCCATTTTTCTTTGTGTGTGCACAGAGCAATCTTTCCATAACAATTTTAGCACTAAAACAGTCTGCTTATTTTATTTGTGCCTATCAGATTTTTTCCCCATGCATGCAAGGTAATCTTTTTGGTTTCACATCAATACAGGTTTTCCACAGAAAAAAAGGAATAAATTATTTCAGTGGACTTATTAGAAATTAAAAAAAATTAAGTTTCGAAGTTCATAAACTCATGCTAATAAAATCATCCCCAACTCTCACAATTTTGCTTATTTATACAAAATTATAAACCACCGTGAAGAAGGGACAAGTTTTTCTGTAGTGCAATATAGTGATGATAGTCCATAAGGTTAAAAAAAACAGCAAAATAAGTTGATTTCAACTTACTAAGTCCTGGGTGGTTGTCTACAATCCGTATGGGAATGGTCTGCACATCTCCCAACAGAATCCGATGAACACTTCCTTCCAGACTCCCTGTATCCTCGACATCTCCAACTTCTACCAGCTGATCCATTGCAACTAGATTTTGAACTGGTCCTGGAAGGTTGCCCATGGCAGAGGGAGTACTATTATTTTGGGTTAGGCATGTATCTATTTGAAGGCTATGACCTTGACCAAGCAATAAGGAATTATTACTCATTACAGCACTTCCTATTGAATCCAGAAGTCTTGAAGGACTGGAGGAGGGATGGTTATTTACTGATATCAGAGCTGTTGACCCATCAGCAGAGGAGAATCTTGGTTGTAATTGCAAGCCCTTTTAAACAAAAAAGAGTTATATCAAAATGTCTGAATTTACTATGTATGATATTCTCATAGGATATATTCTTTTGACAAAAAAATTGGGACAAATAAAATATAAGGGTAGGGTCACTAACAAAAATAAACTGACAACAGAAACAAGAACCAAAGGAAATGTAGTATACTTAAATTTTATTGCATTCATGGCCAATCTCAAAATTTCAAAACATACTGTTTGAATTACTATTGAATCATAATTCATTGAAAATCTCTAAGAGACAGAAAGAAATTTAGGAAGAAAAGGGTCTCAAATTTGACTCTTTTACTGTATACCTACCTGTAGTTGTGTAAATATTTTGGGTTGAAATGCAGATAGTGAGGAGAGCAAGTGAGTTGGCTCTGGAGGCAAAGAACCCCCCGTCTGATTTGTTTCCACTTTGGTGGTAACTGGTTCTCCTGGTGAATTTCCTAAATTATATTTAAAAAAAGAAAGATTAAAACAAAATTTTATGGCTTCTAGGATACTACATTTTATTATGACTCTATCAGAACTAGAATAGGAAATAATGTCAAAGGATTGCAAAGGACTCCAAGTCATCTAGTCCACTACTTCTAGAAACTGACACATCATCAGAATTTATTTTTTTAGTTTGCTATAGGGCATGTGCACTTGCCAGAGAGAGAGAGAGAAACCACTCTCAGGGGTGGGAGAGGGGATGGCACAGTACAATCTCTTCTCCCTTTTCCCCTTGGGACTTCTGGCATACATGCACATGCACCTGGCATGGTTATCAAGCCTACAGGTCCACCCCAGATCATCAGAATTTCTAAGGGAATTTTTGAAAATATAGATTCTGGGACCAGCAGTTAGCGTAATGGCTATGTCGCTGGATTCTCACGTAGTCAACCGCGGTTCGCATCCCGGACCCGGTGGCCTAAACTCACGCAGGGTGCATGTGTGTGTGTGTGTGTCCAAGATCCCGAGAGGAGAATGGAGGAGAAGGGATTGTGGTGTGGCCTTCCCCTCTGGGGGGTGACTTCTCGCTTTCTGTCTCTCTGTCTCTCTCTGTCTGGCGAGCGCACACGCCCTATAGCAAAAACCTCTAAAAAAAAAAAAAAAAAGATTCCTAGGTTCAACCTCCATTAATTTCAACTGAGTAGATCTAGGATAGGCTCCTAGACTGCATCTAGACTATCCTGTGGCATGGAAATTAAGGTGGTTGGATCTCACATGTCTGACAATACAGTTTGCGTCTGGGCCCAATGGCTTGAGAAAAATGCTAAGCACATGTACATGCATGCCCCAATCCTGAAAACTGAGGGAGAAGTGGAGATGGGATTGTGGTGTGACCATGCCCCATGGGTTATGCTTCATCATTTTCCACTCTCTTTTTCTGGTGAGTACACATGCCTCTGGTAAATTTCAAAACAAAGAAAAAGAAATAAAGATTCTACATCTGTACATCTAATCTAGTCCATTCTTTATGCAACAATGCTGGACTACAATTGACCTCTAGATGTGTGTATCCTATTTAAAAGACTAAATTTAATTCATCTTTGTAGCCTCATGGCCCAAGATACCACCTGGCAAAAGTCCCAGTAGTAACAGCATTGAATTTTTTTCAATGACTCATTTTGAAATAAATGAATGAAAGTTAAGAATGTTGCTTTAATATCTCAACTTTGAAATTAATTGTACTTAGAAAATTTATCTCATTCTTAATTCTTTTATGTTAATCAAGATAAACTGATTTATTTTCTTTACTATTTTTTTTTTTGGAGACATTTTTGCTATAGGGCACATGTGCTCGCCAGAAAGACAAAGACAGACAGAGAGACAGAAATTGAGGAATCCCCCCCAGAGGGGGATGGCCACGCCACAATCCCTGCTCCTCCATTCTCCTCTCAGGGTCTTGGGCACTCATGCACACATGCCCAGCATGAGTTTAAGTCACCTGGTCTGGGACTCGAACCACGGTCAACAACACAGGAGTCCAGCGACATTATACCAACTGCTGGTCCTGTAAAATATATTGATTTCTTTAAGTCAACCAAAAACAATTAACAGTGACCAGCAGATGACATAATGGTTACATTGCTGGACTCCCACATAGTTGACCATTGTTCGAATTTCAGACCTGGTGGCTTGACACTCACGCCAGGCATGTGTGCATGTGTGCCCAAAATCCTGAGAGGAGAGTGGAAGAGAAGGGATCACAGCATGGCCATCCCCCCTGGGGGGTGATTTCTCACTTTCTGTTTCTGTCTCTCTGGCAAGCATACATGCCTTATAGCAAAAATCCCTTTATAAAAAAAAAAAGTCCAACCTGTATATTATTGTACTTTATAGAAAACAAAACAAAAATCAAACAAGAATCCCTAATTATCACCAATTATTTATCATTTCCATAATATAACTGAGTAATTTTAAAAACTGGCCCTGATATCAGACATGGATGGGCTTAAGCACTAGCTTTTTCTATGTAACTCAATTTCACTTTTATTGTTGGCTTTTTTTTTAGGTTGTCATAGGACGTGTATGTGTGTGCGCTCATGAGAAAGAAGAGAGACAGAGAGATTCAGACAGAAGGAAAATGAGAAATTACTCCGCAGAGGGAATGGCTATGTCACAATCCTATCTCATCCCTTCTCTCAGAATTTTGAGTATGCATGCACATGGGCCCAGCATGGTTTTCAAGCCACCGGATATGAGACTCGAACTGTGGTCAGCCATGTGGGAGTCCAGCACCACCTGCTGCCCTGTTTCTTCATTTGTAAAATCAGTATTAAGTGTCCTTCCTCAAAGGGCTGCTAAGAGGATTTAATAGCATTTTCACATTTCTTGGTTTCTTTATGTCCTTTTCTCCACTCTGTTGTAGTCACCCACTTCTATAACCATACTCTGTACTATTCTATCTCTAAAATTCAAACATCCCATTCTTTGACCACAACCTCTTATTCTTCCAGAAATTCTGCTCAGGTACTTGGTAACAACTGTTTTTCAATTTCAAGTGAACCTTCAGTCAACAAATCCCTTGGCTTTCTTCAAATCCATCTACTGTTTCCTTAACAAATTCGCTCCACCCAGATTAGAGTTCTGGGTCTGTAATTTCTGTGACTCTCTTAGAAGTACCTTAAATTCTCAGGACCATCAGTGAGCGTAATGGCTATGTCACTGGATTCCTATGTAGTTGACTGTGGTTCAAGTCCCAGACCTGGCGGTTTAAATTCACGCCAGGAGCCTGTGTGTGCGTGCCCAAGCAAAACCTCTCAAAATAAATAAATAAACAAACAAACAAACAAACAAATAAATAAATAAATAAAAGTACCTTAAACTCCCTCCTTTCTGTTCTTTGACCATATGCCCCTGGTAAAATGCTGACTCTGGATGAAAATGGCTTCCTATGCCTGTACATGGGAAGCTGAGTGTCACTGAGTAAGAAATTCACTATTACTAATAGGACCAATTAATGATTATCAACCTCAACTGGACTTTCACCTACATCTGGTGATGCTCCTCTCATTCTCTAAATATTTCTAAATGTCATTTCCCTCAAAGCAAAACCACCCTTCTCAAGACATTTCCCCATTCTTAGAAATTTTACTTAAAGAAAAAATAAATTTCCTCAGCTTTCTACCACCATCTTCACCTGTTTCTTCAGGTCTCTTCTACTGTCTTAAAATATCTTCCCTCGGAACCAGCAGGTGGTATAGTGGCATGGTGCTGAATTCCCACAAGACTGAATGTGGTTCAAGTCCCAGATGCAGCAGCTTGAAATCCACGCTGGGCATGTGTGCACACATACCCAAAGTCCCAGGAGGAGAATGGATTGTGGAGTGGCCATACCCCCCACAGGAGGTGATTTCTCACTTTCCTTCTGTCTCTCTTGTTTCTCTTCTCTACAGTGTGTACAAGCGCCTTATGGCAAAAAAAAAAAAAAAAAACTTAAACAAATGAACAAACAAAATCTCCCTTCAACCTCATACTCTCTTCATAGCAAAATGCTTGCAAACATTGTCCACAATGTCTCTACTCCTTCATTCATCTCCCATTGACTCTTCAACCACTCAATATGGCTTCCTTCTAACCTACTTCGTTGAAATGGTAGCAATATTCAAGCTTTCCAAACCTGATCTTATGGCCATTTTTCTCTCTCTGTCCTAAACAATACCCTATTTTTTTTTTTTTTTTTTTTGCCAGATACTAAGCTCATCAAGTACCATTACCAGTCATTGTTCACGGTAAAAATTCAGAGGTCATCTTAGAGTATTCCCACTCTTTTACCCCCTACATCAATTCAATCACTAACCTACATCTTCAAATCCTACTTCATTTATTTTTAGGTTTTTGCCATAGTGTGTGTATACTCACCAGAGAGAGGAAAAGTGAGAAATCCCCCCCCCCCTCCAAGTGGGTGGTCATACCACAACCCCTTCTTCTTCATTCTCCTCCTGACATTTTCAGTACGCACCCACACATATCTGGAGTGATTCTCAAGCCACCAGGTCTGGGACTTGAACTGCCGTTCACCATGTGGGAGTCCATCCAGTAGCTTAACCATCATGCCACCTGCTGGCCCTCGAATAATACTTTAAAAACTGCTCCTTAGGACCAGTTCTGTTGCTTGGTGGTTAAGGCACTTGGCTCCCACATGGCTGACAGTTTGAGCCCTGGACCCAGCAGCTTGATAAACACACTGGGCATGTGTGTATGCATGCCTAAAATCCCAAATGGAGACTGGAAGAGAAGGGTTCACAGTGTAGCCTGGATACATACTTCTTCCTCATTCCCCCCGCCCCCCCCATCTTTCTCTGGCAAGAGCATGCACTCAATGGTGGAAAAAATAAAAACAAAAAGAACAAAAAACTCCTTAAATTTAATTCTGGCAGAAATGCCACAGACTATAGCTTAAACCACTATTACCTTTCATCTGAATAGTTAATGGCTTGCTAAACCTGTTTTGCTTATCCAGTTTTAATTTTTCTATGCTGAACCCACACAAACACTCAAGGTTTAAGTTCCTTAAGTATGACAAGCTCTTTTCTGACTTAGTGTTTCTTTCAATGACAAATTTCTTCATTTTTCAGTTCTTATCTTAAAAGTCAAGTTTTCAAGTGTCACTTCTCTATTCCCTGGACTAAGCAACATGTCTCTGTAACTATTCCAATATAATTTTGTACAATTCTTTCATGGCACTTTTCATAATGGTAATGAATTAGAATCTACTTGTTAAGTGTTCTTTTTCTCTCAAAAACTTTACATTTCACGAGGCAGGAAACTTACTCATTCTTTTCTATGCCCAGCTATATATATATATATATATATATAAAATAGTCACTAGTTGACTCTAAAGTATCTATTTTGGTGTTAACTTTTTAGAATGTATCATGCTAGGCAACAGGTATATTATTGGGTTGTTGGAAAAATCATTATGCATTTCTGCATAGAAAACCACATCATGACTTTTCTGACAACCCCATAATTTTAATAAAATATAATCCTTGTCCCTGAAGAGCTCAAATCATAATGACAGACAGACATGCAGACAGAAGATTACCATGGAGCCACCAGGTTGTATGGTGAAGGCAGCTAGATCCCCAAATGGTTGACTACATGGTTTGAGTGCTAGATGTGGTAGCTTGAAAATCAAGCCAGGAGCATGTGCATGTGTGCCCAAAACTACAAGAGGAAAATGGAGGAGAAGGGATTACAGCATGGCCATTCTCTCTGGGGGGTGATTTCCCACATTTTTTCTTTATCTTTCTGTCCCTGTCTTTCTCCAGCAAGCAAATGGACCTATAGAAAAACAAACAAACAAAACTACCTCTTTTTGTTTGTTTGTTAAGATTTTTGCCATAGGGTCCCACAGAGAGAGAGACGGAAAGAAATCACCAGAGATTATTTCTGGGCGGGGATAGGGGGAACGGCCATGCTGTAATCCCTTCTACTCCATTCCATTCTCCTCTCAGGAACCTGGGCACCTTCACATGCAAGCTCAATGTATTTTTCAAGCTGTGGGGACTGGAACCTCAAAGCTGGCCATGTGGGATCCAGCGCCCTAACCATCACACTATCTGGTGACCCTAAAAGGTTACCATGTTACATGTACAGGTAAATACAAAAGAGTGAATAGCTAACTTTATATAGGGGGTGAAGTTAAGATAGTAGATACAACCAAAGAGATTGCTGTAAGAGGAGTTTTCCAAGCTAAAGAAAAGATATATCAAAGAGTTAGAACATACGCAAAAAAGATGAAGTGAAATAAGAATATTCAGAGAACATAGGAGTAAGAACATATGAGAAAAAGAAAACACACAAAATGAACAATAGTTTCCAGATCAAGATACTTTAGGGTTATTAGTACTGGAATAAGCCAGTCTTCTAGTTCACTATGCGAATAATCAGTCTCAACACTTTTTAGTAAGAAGTATAAAAGCTGACTATAGAAGGAAATCTAAATAGCTTGGAAGTATTTTGATAAACTCTAACATAAGGTAGTCTTGTTTCTATGGGTCATGGTTTATCTACAAAATTTTATTAGATGAGATAATATCTTAAGCTCCTTCCAATGTTAACACTTTGATTTTATATTTTTTAGGTGAAATGCTTTCATTTATTGATTTTGTATTTAAAAGATCTTCAAGTTTAACCTACCTTCTGCAAATGTAACCGTCACAGTCTCTCTGAGAATATTCCCACTGTCTGTGGTCCACTGAAGCTGAAATGGGAACAAGCATTTCAGTAAAAATAAAGCATTTATATTTAAAAATATGAAAACTCAATTCAATTATCATATTTTATTCAGTCATAGTACAATTGTGTTCTATCCTGCAATTACTAACTTCACTTGTTCACATTCTGAAAGCAAAATATATTTCACTCAATTTCTGAGTTCAGATAGCAAGAATCTGGAAAGAAGTGTAGCTGAGAAAAATCATGGCTTTAATTCCTGAATTCTGGATAGTAAATAAGAGTTTTGGATAGCAAAGACTAGCAGTTCTAGCTTAAAGAAAATTTAAATCTATTCAGTTACTGAATTTGGAGAGTAAAATTAAGGAGAGTAAAGGCTAGTGCTACTCAGATTTTAATGCCACGATCACCACCTGTGAAGCAATTAGTTTCTGGGTAATTATGGGAATCTCTTTTGAGTAGGCAACATTTTCATAGAGATAACTAATATTTAGGGGGAAACTATGGTATTAAAGTATAAGGTAAAATTGGGGGCCAGCTCATGGACTGGTGGCTGAGGTGGCTGTATTCCACATGTTCGACCACACAGTTCAACTCCCAGACCCAGTAGCTTGAAAAACATAGCCAGTATGTGTAAATGCATGCCTTAAATCCCAAAAGAGGTGGGGGGGGATGGAGGAGAGGGCATTGTGGCATGGCCATTCTCTATGGGGAGGTGCTTTCTCACTTGTCCTCCCCTCCACCTCCCTGGTCTCTTTCCAGTGAGTGTATACACTCTTCAACAAATTAAAAATAAAAAAAAAAAGGTATTCATAGATGGAATACAGAACCAACACCACCATTTTGTATATTTAAGTCTGAACTCTTCTATTTAAACTTGCCTATCTTTTTTTTAAAATAAAAGATAAACTTTACATATATATATTGATTAATTAATTCAGATTTTTGCCTTAGGGCTTGTGTGCTTGCTAGAAAGACAGAGAAAGGGAAAGTGAGAAATCATCCTCCATGAAGGGTGGCCATACCATAATCCCTTCTCCTCCATTCTCCTCTCAGGATTTTGGGCATGTGCATGCGCACATGCAAGTGTGCACACACGTCCAGCATGAGTTTCAAGTCACCAGGTCTGGAACTCAAACCATGCTCAGTCATGTGGGAATCTAGCACCTTAACCACCATGCAACCTGCTGGCTTCACCCATATATTTTTTTTAAAGGGGAAAAGAGAGGGGAGGAGCAATATACAGTCTGTACTCAATAAATGTCTGTTAATGAAGAAGAAATAACTTTCATGGTGAAAAATAAGTTTGATTTTTAAAGACAAATTTGTGTTTTTATTATAGTCAGTATAGAAAATTTCCTGATTTTTCTTCTTGTGAGTTAAAAAAAATGAGTCAAGTCATCATTTGAGGGCTTGTAATCTACACTTTAAAAATTATGCCATGCGGGAACCAGCAGTTAGCGTAATGGCTATGTTGCTGGACTCCCACATAATTGACCGCAGTTCATGTCCCGGACCCGGTGGCTTAAAACTCATGCCGGGCGCGTGTGCGTGCATGCCCAAGATCCCAAGAGGAGAATGGAGGAGAAGGGATTGCGGCGTGACCATCCCCCCTGGGGGGTGATTTCTCGCTTTCTGTCTCTATGTCTCTCTCTGTCTGTCTGGTGAGCGCACGCGCCCTACAGTGAAAATCTCTCAAAAAAAAAAAAAATTATGCCATGCAACTGGCAGGTTGGGCATGGTGGCTAAGGCAGTGGACTCCCACATTGCTGACCGTGGTCCAAGTCCCAGACCTGGTAGCTTGCTTTCTCACTTTCTCTGTCTCTCTCTGGTTATATTAAATAATAGTAATAATAATAATAAATAAAACTAATTTTTTAAAATGTCATCATTTTTCCTTTTATCACAGTTATACAGATAGCATAATACTAGCCATTCCTACTAGGCCAAATATTAAGAGAAGTTCAGAAAGATTCCATAATAAAGTAAGGAATTATAGTCATAATCATACCGTTGCTGGAATAATCTCTGAGTTATATACTGTATCTCCATTTCTCAAGGATTTCTGAACCTCATGGATGTGATTTTTAATATCATTTACAGTTGGAAAAAAAGATAAATTATGTCTTTCAGGTACCTCATCAGGTCTGAACAGTTCTCGTTCCACAAATTTTCTGTGGAAAATATAAAATAGAATAAAAAATGGAAGACATATAGTAATATACTTGTAGATTAAAAAAAAGAGAAAGGTTCTCTTTCAGAATAAACTTCTATAGATTATGATTTACAGCTCTAAAAATAATTTATATTTTCCCATTTAAAGTTTTTTCTCTACATTAAATTACAGAATTTACACAAATTTAAAAACATGTAATGTAGAGGATTGCAAGTGTCATGAAGATTAAGGCACTGGATTCCACATGGCCAACTCCAAGGTTTGAGTCCTGGACCTGGTGGCTTGAAAATCACACTAGATGCATGTGCATATGTGCCAAAAATCAAGAGATTGAAATGGAGGTGAAGGGATTATGGCATGGCCATCCTCCCTGGGGATTATTTCTCACTTTCTCTCTCTCTCTCTCTCTCTATATATATATATATATATCTTTTTTTTACTTTTACTTTTTTATTTAGTCATCTACTGTACATCAATACAGTATATAAAATGATATTTTCCATCCAGGATACATTGTATATTGGCTAAATCAAGGATATTACCATATATGTTATGATCAACAAATTATTTCCTATTTCTTGTTTTTTATATATTTTGCTTTCCCCTCCTTGATTCCCTACCTCTCACCTTCTATTAATTCCCCCACTTCTCCCATATTGTCTCTGATATCTACAGTTGTTTTCCATGTCTTTTTTTTTTTTTACATTTTATTGATTCACTAAAGATCTTAATTTAACACTTTCGATAGCAACCACAGCTAATATATACATATCTATGAACACATGTCTGACTGGGCATAAACCTCAGTGAGCAAAGTGAACATACTATATAAAGTAGCACCTCACTGGGGCTCTATAGCTTACTGCAGTCATTATACAGGTATTAGTAGATTTTTTTTTTTTGGAGAGGTTTTTGCTATAGGGTGCGTGCGCTCGCCAGAGAGACAGAGAGAGACAGAG